TCCCGCTGGTGTTCCGTTTTGACCGTTAGCAGCCCGAATCCATCAGAGCGGACCTCCCTATCTCATCTGCGCTTGATATGCTTGGCTGTGCTCCTTGCTCTTTCTGGTGGTTTGTTTTGGCCGCTCAGCGGCCCAAACCCATCAAAACGGGCCTCCCCAGCTCTTCTGCTGTTGTCTGAGCGGACTACATCATTGAAAACGGGCTCTTCCCCAGCTGTTCTTTGTTTTTGTGTTTCTTTTCTCTCCCTATCCATCCATCCATCCACTTGTCTATCTATCCATCCACTTGTCTATCTATCTATCTATCTATCTTTCATTTTCTGTATGCCAGGGATGTCTAGCTCAGTCGGTAGAGGGAAAGGCCCTTAATCTGAAGATTGAGGGTTCGAGCCCGCCCTGCACCTGCAGTCAGTGGAAGAGTTGGGGAGGTCCGTGTTGGAGGATTTGAGCTGCTGAGGGGCCAAAACGGACCACCAGAGGGAGAGCAAGGAGCACAGCCCAGCAGACCAAGCTGGCGAGGTCCGTTTTGGAGGATTTGGGCTGCTGAGCGGCCAAAACGGACCACCAGAGGGAGAGCAAGGAGCACAGCCAAGCAGACCAACATGGCGAGGTCCGTTTTGGAGGATTTGGGCCGCTGAGCGGCCAAAACGGAACACCAGAGGGAGAGCAAGGAGCACAGCCAAGCAGACCAAGCTGGCGAGGTCCGTTTTGAAGGATTTGGGCTGCTGAGCGGCCAAAACGGACCACCAGAGGGAGAGCAAGGAGCACAGCCAAACAGACCGAGCTGGCGAGGTCCGTTTTGGAGGATTTGGGCTGCTGAGCGGCCAAAACGGACCACAGCCAAGCAGACCGAGCTGGCGAGGTCCGTTTTGGATGATTTGGGCCGCTAAGTGGACAAAACGGAGCACCAGGGAGAGAAAGGGACAGAGACCGATGAGGTTGGAAGAGCAGGGGAGGTCCGTGTTGACGGATTTGGGCTTCTGAGCGGCCAAAACGGACCACCAGACGAAGAGCAAGGAGCACAGCCCAGCAGACCAAGCTGGCGAGGCCCGTTTTGGAGGATTTGGGCTGCTGAGCGGCTAAAACGGACCACCAGAGGGAGAGCAAGGAGCACAGCCAAGCAGACCAACATGGCGAGGTCCGTTTTGGGGGATTTGGACAAAACGCACCAGCAAGGGAGAGCACGGAGCACAGCCAAGCAGACCAAGCTGGCAAGGTCCGTTTTGGAGGATTTGGGCTGCTGAGCGGCCAAAACGGACCACCAGAGGGAGCCAGCCAAGCAGACCTTGCTGGCGAGGTCCGTTTTGGAGGATTTGGGCTGCTGAGCGGCCAAAACGGACCACCAGAGGGAGAGCAAGGAGCACAGCCAAGCGCGACGATCAGCAAAACGGAGCACCAGGGAGAGACAGGGAGAGAGAACTTCGTCGTTTTCACCGGCCTCACTGGACACAGAGGTTGTACCCGTGTCTGCTTTCTCTGTTCCTGGCTGTCTGCTTGTGGTGGTTGCTTTCTGTGAGGTCCTGTCTGGATATACCGGTTTTCTACCAAAAATTTGCAGATCATTTCCTGTATGCCGGGGATGTCTACCTCAGTCGGCAGAGGGCAAGGCCCTGGGGATGTCTAGCTCAGTCGGCAGAGGGCAAGGCCCTGAACGTGAAGATTGAGGATTCGAGTCCGCCTCGCGGTCAGTGGAAGAGTTGGGGAGGTCCGTTTTGGAGGATTTGGGCTGCTGAGCGGCCAAAACGGACCACCAGAGGGAGAGCAAGGAGCACAGCCCAGCAGACCAAGCTGGCGAGGTCCGTTTTGGAGGATTTGGGCTGCTGAGCGGCCAAAACGAACCACCAGAGGGAGAGCAAGGAGCACAGCCAAGCAGACCAACATGGCGAGGTCCGTTTTGGAGGATTTGGGCTGCTGAGCGGCCAAAACGGAACACCAGAGGGAGAGCAAGGAGCACAGCCAAGCTGACCAAGCTGGCGAGGTCCGTTTTGGAGGATTTGGCCGCTCACCACCGCGGCCAAAACGGACCACCAGGGAGAGAAAGGGACAGAAACCCTCGTTTGATGAGGTTGCCGTGCCTGTGTGCGCGCAGGAACATGGACGTTATCCTCCCACCCCACCCCACCTCCCACTCCACCCCCGCACCCCCATCCCCACCCACACCCAACATCCCACCCCACCCCATTCACCCCCGGCCCATGACAGGGCACCACCCGCAACCGCACCCCACCCCACCCCTACCCGTTGGAAGAGCTGGGGAGGTCCGTTTTGAAGGATTCGGGCTGCTGAGCGGCCAAAACGGACCACCAGAGAAAGGCAAGGAGCACAGCCAAGCAGACCAAGCTGGCAAGGTCCGTTTTGGAGGATTTGGGCTGCTGAGCGGCCAAAACGGACCACCAGAGGGAGCCAGCCAAGCAGACCTTGCTGGCGAGGTCCGTTTTGGAGGATTTGGGCTGCTGAGCGGCCAAAACGGACCACCAGAGGGAGAGCAAGGAGCACAGCCAAGCGCGACGATCAGCAAAACGGAGCACCAGGGAGAGACAGGGAGAGAGAACTTCGTCGTTTTCACCGGCCTCACTGGACACAGAGGTTGTACCCGTGTCTGCTTTCTCTGTTCCTGGCTGTCTGCTTGTGGTGGTTGCTTTCTGTGAGGTCCTGTCTGGATATACCGGTTTTCTACCAAAAATTTGCAGATCATTTCCTGTATGCCGGGGATGTCTACGTCAGTCGGCAGAGGGCAAGGCCCTGGGGATGTCTAGCTCA